TGATAATAAAGGTCACTTGTGCTTTATAGATAGGCAAATATAGTCATTAGAAGCATGAAAAGCCATGGCATGCCTCACGTACGTTAAATCTTGACGTACGCATATAATTACTTCGCTCGCATTTCGATCATAGCGTGACCACAAAGTGACGTATCCGGAAATCCGAAACGACACATCATATTTGGCTTACATATAACAACCAACGGGAATTTGTATTTAAACATCCGTTGTCAAAAGTCAGACAATCGGCTTTGCAAGCCGCTTGCATTCCACTGCATTATAGCAGAGGTGCGCACCCGTTCATCGAAGGAATTCGCTGTATTGTTTATGGAAGGGCCAGCAGTAGCAGTTCCAGCATGTTGAGGATCTGCACTGCTGTTATCGCGCCTGGCGTCTGTAGCTCGTTGAGGATGCCACGAATAGATTCTAGTAGATGCTTCAGCATAGTTTGGTTCTTCTCAGTGTCTTGCCTGAGTGTCTCAGTGATAGCTCAATGTACGACAACGTCTCAAACGGCAAGATTACCTATGGCAGTGCCCTACTTAGCGAGAATTAAGCTGAATGTATGACAGGATGTGCGAGTGGGACATTTTAAAAATGATCCCGATTACGTGAGAGCCTCTGACTATAATTACTCAATAGTATCTAACTAGCTGCAATAAAAACTTCCTGTGCATCAAACTTTTCGGGCTCTTTATTTGTCTGTGTTTGATTCATGAAAAAGAACCACCTGGCGTTACTATGTGCAATGGCACGAGTGGTTGGAAAGTTCCGTTTTCGATTGGTTAGGCTGAATAAGTGGTGACATCTAGAATGTCTCCTGTTGAACCAAGTAAGCAGCAAGTTGTTCAAAGCCCATCATTACTGCTGCCTTTGAACGCGAGCGTTTTGTCTGGTAGCAGCTTAAAAAATAGTGCCAATTCATTCATATTAAAGATGTCATCAGGTGCGTATCTTCCACGATGTTCTTCAGTTGACCATTTTGCCACTGCTCCGCACCATCCACGTCAGCAGCAGCACCTTCTCACGAAACAGTCCTCGTGGTAATGCGGTGCCTCGCCTTAAATCTGGCCATCCAGCTATTGCTGCACACGAAGTTGTCATGGCTGAGCAGCGAGGCAAAAACCAGGGCCTTCTCCACGAGCAGGGGTCTGCTGATAGGCAGATTTTTTAGACCGTGCCGCTTTTAGTCACTTCACCAGCGCCTCCTCTACATCTGAAAACCCCGAACCGCGAAGCCGGCACCTTTCCGCAGTTGCAGCAGCACTGCCGAGCAACTTCACTCTGGAATTACAAATTCCACACACCGTGGTTAACGACAGGTCCTTTTCGCGTGCCAGCGCCGATTTTTTCGTGCCACTTTCAATAGCACGAATTATGTCCGCTTTCTCCTCTATTTTCAGCACTCGATGCTTTTGTCCCAGCTTCAGCATGACGCAAGTACGAAGCAGCACAAGCACACATACACAACACTGAAAAACGACACGAGACCTGTACGGCACGGATCAACCAGAGAACACCTATGCACGGCGCCAAAGGAACAAAGAAAGCAAAGCAAGCGCACACCGTGCTTGCGGGTTTGTGCAAGGCGCCATCGCGTGGACAACACCAGAAGCCTAGCCGGCCGAGTGCTTCTTGTTGCAGAAAAATCCATTACACTTCACTACTTTTAAAACGAAACTACCGTTTACGCGGGTACGTTTAACGAGGTTCACTGTAGCACTTCAAGATTTCTGGACGGCGATTTCAGCAATCATCATCGACTTGAAGAGACGCGAAACGGTTTTTAGAAGTTTTGTCAGCGTTTAGGTTAGTGATATGCCATGTCACTAGATTTGTGGTGCGAATGAAATCACTAAAAATTGAAAAAGTAATTAAACTCAAGGTAGCTTAAAATCACTTTGAAAGGGTACAAGGTGACTACAAAACTAAAGAGAGCTTATTCTGTAAAGTCTACTAGCAATTGTCACCTGACTGCTTGCCATTGGATTTCACATGAGGAGTTCATTAAATCCACATGCTCAAATAACTATCATTGCCAAGCTCTCATGATGGAAGAAATCATCTTATCTTTCCTATGGGAAAACATATCTTTGCTACATAAATTATTCACTTACACCTTTAAAATGCCTTTTCTTAGAACCCATTTCCGGACAACTTCATAAATTTAGACTAATAGTACTTCAGATAGCTTGATACTAAATTTGGCCCACATATTTCTTGACAGGTGCACGCTGCAAGTATGTCCTTCACATCTTGATATCACCTGTACAAATATTACGAACCTAAAGTAAGCATTACTATATGCTGAGCATTCTAAGAATTGTCATGTTACAATTTTTCTTGTCCATTAAAGGAAATTATATGCACTTTCGTGATAGCTATTTACATTCTACAGTTAATGCGAATAAGCAATATGTGCCATTAATAGCTCCGAACCATAAGAGTTTAGTGGCATAACGATTCTCCAAAATGAACTGTACTTTACACATTGTCATGACACAAAATGGTAACTATAAAACTAACTACAAAACTAATTACGTATTTGAAATCAGCATAAAAGTTTATATATACATATAAAATTTCATTGCCCTAGGCTACAGAATAATACAACTTTTTTTCCAAATAGCATCTCCCCTTAATTTTCGCAGTCCACAGAAGCTGTCCTCTTCGTTCTTCAGGAAATGAAAACATTTTAAAGCTCTTTTATGCCCATGTCAAACAGGTACAATAAATTCTTTAAAGCAAGAAGACCTTTCTCTGAAAAGGAGTTTCAGGCGTAGACACACGGCAGAAAGCGATGTCCTTTCCAGAAGCGGTATTTTCTGGAAACAGGGTTCGACGAACTCTTGTATGACGACAAAGAGTAACCTCGAAACCAGTCGGCGACTTCCAACATGGCAGCGCCCATGCACTGGACCGCTCGCATCAATCCAAACTTCCTCTGAACGCTCATCCAGAGCAGCGAGAGAACCAAATGAATGGTACAATTAGCTATCACAATGTGCCATCTCACGACAGGGACAAAGTATTAGGTAGGCTCTTTTGTTATTGGCGAGATGAGCTGCTTCTGCAACCATGCTTAAAAGTGTTCAAGGAATACAGGGGTGGGGGGGGGTCTAGAGTTAACTGGAAGAAGGCATAGAAAGTGGCACACACAAGACCTGGGCGGAAACTCTCTTTATGTACACAAGCATGGCTAATATATACATTCGAAGAACGCCCTCTATTGGGCCAAAAATCCTTTCCGAAACCATAACCGTAACCAAAACCCTGGCCCCACAGTTTCTTTACCTGCTATTCTTACATTTATTTGAAGAAATGAGTCATGCAACAAGTCAAACTGGTACATCGAAATGCATAATTTTATTTCTATTTCTTTTTTTAACTGCTAGTGCCATGCTTTCGGTAGTGTCTTCAAAAGAAAACACAAAAGGGAGCTCATTGGTTCCGCCTGTCTGTGCCCCAAGGCTTCCTCGAAGTCTTTCAACTTCGTAAAAGACCGCTTACATAAAATACTTTTCGCATGCCCCTGTGACACAGGTATCAACTTTGACAGTGCATTACAGAACACAACAACCAGGCATTCTGCTCCGAGACAGAGTAACGAAAGCTGCTTTCTGCGGGAGAGTTGACGCGAGTGGAAAGCAAGAAAATGGCGTCGGCGCTTTCGGAGAACCGGTTCTCACAAAGACGACCCCCTTCCTCTGCGTGTGGGCAGCTGCTGCGCGTTGTCACTTTCAACACACTCATCAAAGAACTTCACCAGAAAATCTTAGCGACAAATAACATGAGGAAACAACAACATTAAACTTTTCCGAGTTACAATAAAAAATTACGGCTTGAAGAGAATCCTCAACTGGTTCGGCACAACAAAATTACAAAAATTTTCATACGTATACCTGACGTTGTCTGCTACAGTTTTCGGCACTCTGTGCTTCACCACCAAAGCGAAGTAGAAAAGTCGTAATAGAATTTACAAAAACTACAATAGACCTTTTTCTGAAGTGAAGATTCTCAGTTCATGACTCTATGCTTCGCAGGCCAGCAAAGCGCCATGGACCATTGCTAGGTTTACTAAAATTGATCGGACTAAGTGACCGCCTATAACGTGCAATGAACATGGCCACATGTACAGACACGGTGCCCTTCACCTCTCCTCTCTTTCTTCTCTTTTATTCCTCTCACATCTTGCCCTACTGCAGAGTAACAAATTTGATGTGCATCTGGTTATGCCACGACACATCTTTCGAAAACAATCAGAGAAGGTAGACGCATTAGACACAAGAAATGCCGAGTAATGGCAAGATGTAGGACAAGAAGGCATGTGAAATATATGACGCATTTTTTATTCGCAAGGCAATAACTTAGCGTGTAAGTGCCCCATCTGTTAACTGGTGAACAATGAGTACACGTATCTTTTCAGAGAAAATAATTTCAAATGAGAAGCATTTCTTAGCGAACTTTGGCAACTTTGAGCCAGACACAGCCTGCCAATTGTTTCAATAGATTCAGCCCCACTCAGCACCAAGTGGTAGTGAAACCAAGTCACAAGAAAACTGAAAGAAAGATTAGATGTCTATACATTGTGGCTCCCTCCATTGATTGATATGTGGGGTTTAACGTCCCAAAACCACTATATGATTATGAGAGATGCCGTAGTGGAGGGCTCCGGAAATTTAGACCACCTGGGGTTCTTTAACGTGCACCCAAATCTGAGCACACGGGCCTACAACATTTCCGCCTCCATCGGAAATGCAGCCGCCGCAGCCGGGATTCGAACCCGCGCCCTGCGGGTCAGCAGACGAGTACCTTAGCCACTAGACCACCGCGGCAGGGCGTGGCTCCCTCCATGCAACCAATTGGTGACAATACCAAAGTATTGCATGGCAAGGTCAATTTGCTGGATCGACTATATAATTGATTTTCTCACATTGTTGAGCGAGTTACAGACTGCATTTTCACGACACTGAAAAAAGGAGTTTTACAGGTGGTCTGACCTGCAAAGTCACTCTCTGGCCTGGCACCAGATCCTTGCCCAAGTGGAGAGTAAATCGTTCACGGCCTGTCAGGTTCAGGCTCTGGGCGTTCTGCCCCGGCAGGTACTGGAGAGGCACAATGCCCATGCCCACAAGGTTGCTGCGATGGATGCGCTCGTAGCTCTCGGCCAGCACAATGCGGATGCCCTGGACACACAACATAACTCTGGGATTCCTGCACGCAACAATGCTAGTACACTTTATATGAAAGAAAATAAATGCTTTTTTTTGAGCGCTATAATAAAGCTTGTTCGCCTTTGATTTCAACATAAAACTTTGACGGGGTAGTTAGGAGGACTGAGGCAATAAAGGATGTTCTGCAGGTGCCATTGGTGAGATGGCTATGTTACATGCAGTTTTTGTGCAATCCTTTACAGAATCGCGTTACACAAGCAGCAACTGCCAGAATAGAACAGTGCCTAGTTAATGTCTCCAACACAGGCCACATCCTAAAGGGGTCGTGAAATAAAAATAGAACTTCCGGTAGCGATTTTCCCTGCTTCAATAAGGGTTAGACATACCGATTCCAATATGTTTCAGCACAATATCCTGTCTGTAATTATTGACGCTCGTTTGAAATTGCACTTTTTTGTTGGGCTTGCTAGCGACAATGCGGCACCATAGCTATAGGCACTAACATGTGACGTTAGTGAAAGGTCAGAATAAGAGTTGCATGGCAACTTGCCTTCCCGCCTTGGCTCGATCTGTGTAGCTAGTACAGCATCCCAGTTTCTTTTTTAATTGTTAAAGGCCACGAGAATACACAAAGAAGAGTAAAGAGAAAAAAAAGCCACAGGTGTACAATCATGGAAACTGGACAGGGGTGGTGCCATCAAAATTTGAGGCTAAAACAAGCATCTTGTGGATTCCTCTGTATGCTGCGACAATCTACACGAATGGCCGGACACAGAAAATGTTATGTTATATTTTAATGAACCTCCAAAGTGTATCTAAATGCTCATTCTCCCTATTGAAGCCATCTCAAGTGCATACAAAACTTTTGTAGCTCTCTAGGAAGATCAACGGAAGTTACAGTGACGTCCACCAGATCTGTATGAGAGTAGGCGTGCGCAGGTTTCCCCTCCAGGGGGAACAAAGGTTCATGCAGTGCACCCTCAGCCATTATGTCAATGTATGGATTTGATTTTGCGCCCCCTTCCTATTCTGCCAATGTGTGGGGTTGTGTTTGCACAACCCACCTCGTAGGTGACCATGGAGTGGCCGCCCCTAGTCCCGTCCCGTGCACACACCTTATTGTAGTGAGGGGAGTGACCTTAGGAGACCTCTGTCACGTACGTACAGACAAATCGTTGCGGCTGCTACACTTTTATTTGCAGGTGCTTGTGCGGCACGTGGTGCGAGAAAGCCAGCGAGAGCAATGATAATCCGCCCGATGTGTGTCACAGCCTTGTGTGGCTACGAGCCAAGCTACACTACAACGTCACAGCCCAATTCTGCGCCCAGAAACTAAAACCGAAAACAGTTCACATAAAAAAGGGGATGTTATTATTTCACCAGAATAAATGAATCTTGGTGTCTGTATCATGCTTGCTGGAGTCATAAGAAATGCTTGCAGCAAAGAAATCGCAAGCTACAAGAATGGTGGCACCACTAATTTAAAGGCCAAGACCATTGATTTTTTGACCACGTCAGGATAATGATGCTTTTATGTTCCCGAGACACTCTTGTCACACGCCCGATAGCTGAAATGCTCACAAACTTGAAAACAATTTTTAATTACCAAAAATCGTAATACTAAAAACACTCGAGTGCACTTCTACATGTCATGTAATAATTTGCCCAAACCTGCCTGGTTGTGCATCATACCCACTTGATGACACTACATGTTCACATTGTCCACCAAGATCACCTAAAATGCTTACGCTGTTATAGTGAATATATGGCGAATTGTATATGGCAAAACGCAACGCCACTTGCCACTTGTCGCACATCCACCAACACAAAAAAGAAATCGCATGTTCAACCAAGGAAGCTCCTGCCAAACACACACAATCCATAGTAGACAAGTAGACGCTGCAGTGGCACACCAGTTCAGTCACTTCCGCCAGGCAAAACTTAACGTCACATGCACAATGTTGCCATTAATTCTGGCAAGCGAGGTGAGCGTTTCAAGGCAAGCTATAAAATTAGTTTGCCAAAAAATCTGTGAAACTATCAAGCTTGCAATTCAGCATGAATGGTTCAAACACGCAAATGAACATACCCAGTGAATTTTATTGAGGTCCATTAGCCTCGAAAAATCGCTAGTTGGCCTTAAAGTCAGGTTGTGTTCTACTGCGTGTTCTGGGTTGCTCAGTGCTCACTATGCCAACCATGTGCATCGTCCGACCATGCAGCACAACTTATCAACATGCAAACAACTTTCGCTTTCACAAGCTGCCCAGCGAGCCACAGCGTATAACAGTGGGCTTCGAGCTATCAACTGTGATGGCCCCAATGGTATGGGTACACCAGTGGAGGGTCATGGCCGGGGCTCCCCAAGTGGAGGCTCTGCCACGCGGTCTCGATACGATGCTTCCAGGACGCGGGTCTTTGCCCCCTCGCAGTTGTCTCGTTCTGAGAATGGCCGATCTCCAGCCCAAAGCCGACCTCACCATAGCAGACACTGTAGTTCATCCTAGCTGTGTGTCCACGACGTAATCGTATTGTTATGGTGATTGATTGATTGATACGGGGTTAGTGCTTCCTCTATTTATTTTTTTTTTTTTTTCAGTGCCCGGGCGAACGCTCTTTTCAGGCCGTCAAACGCGCTCCAACTCTTCTTGGTGCTGCATGGTGGCGCTGCCTGAGTAGACTATGAGAAGCTGGCACTGAATGGCCACGAGTACTAGGAAGCTCGCAAATTCGTGTTTTTACGAGAGCCAATTTGCATTCGTGCTTCTCGCTGGCTTTCACGGATACAGGGGGAACGAAAAGTAACATGAACATAGTGGCGCGCTGTTTTCACCGTGCTCTGACCGTGGTGGCAACAAAAAGATTTTATATGGTATTGTAACATGTAAAACTCTGTCATTTTATCAATCATGCAGGCTAGAACTGCTTAAAAATAAATGCAACACAGGAAAGGAGGTAGATACAGCATGCCCGCGTTTTTTTTCATGCCCCCTAAACGTTGAAGAAGAATGGCGATTGGGCTAGTTGGTTTGAATTCATAGTAATAAGGGCTGCAGCGCGAGCACGAATGTGCTAGAAGAAACAGACAAAGTCGAGGTACGGAAGGCAAAAGAGGACAACACAGCGCTCGTGTTGTCCTCTTTTGCCTTCCGTACCTCGACTTGTCTGTTTCTTCTAGCACATTCGTGCTCGCGCGCTGCAGCCCTTATTACTATGAATTCCCCCTAAACGTGTTCGCAAGCCAGGGCGTGCTACTGGTTTGATATGAATTCAAGTTTACAGGGAAAGCTGTTATGAGATCGAAACTTAAGTCACGCGCGGCGCCGTAGTTGTCCGCTTCCGCCGTCACTGTCCGTAACCACATCGCATGAAATTAGTTAGTACGAATGACACAGTCAGGCTCGAACCCAGGTTGGATCTGCTGGGTGCCAGCCCAGTATTTCACCACTAAGCCACGCTGGTGCTTGGGACATGTTGGCAAACTTACCTTAGGCATCCTTGATGTTGCGGAAAGCGATTGCTGTGAAACAACAAGTAATCTGGCAGCCCTGTGCTACACGTTGATCTAGCCAGAAGACTGTTTCGTAGTTGTTCTTAAGCGTGCATGTGCTCCATGACTGCATCGATGCCGTAGCTCCTGCTTATTAAAGTCGTTTTCGCCTTATTGCCGCCTTGTCTACGTTGCCGAGTCCTCACGTTTGGCGCAGTCGTCGACCATGACGAGAGGAAACCGAAGCCACATGTCCATTTCATGCGAGTTGGTGTTTTGTGCTAGCTTCCCGCCTCCCTGCCTTCGCCTCGTAAACCTTCTTTGATCTTGCCCGCCCGTACATTGACCGCAATGCCGCTAATAATCTGGAATGAGGCCACTGTGGAACACCTCCATGGGTTCACAGCGTACTTTATACGCCATGAACTTTCGCGCCGTAACCTGGAGGGAGACGACTGGCTCGAAGGAAGACATGATTGAACGGTTGCTTCATGACATCGCCCGAAACCGTCAACCATCTGGTGGGCCCGACTCAACAGCTGAGCAGCTGGATTTTAAGTACGAAAATGCTTAGGGACCTAATATAGCAGTTTTGACATTGTCAAACAGCTGACGTTTCCAGTTCAAGTCACTACGCTGCCCGACTTTTCGGCCTTGCTGCCAACCTTTAGTGGTAACGGTAGCATGTCAGCTCACCAGTGGCTTGAAGAACTCGACCATACTAAGGCTTGGCGTCATAGACAGCATCTACTCTCTTCGCCGTAGCACTTGGTAAGCTTTATGGCTTTGCTGCAGATTGGAAAAGCGTAGAAGAAAACCAGTTGGACACGTGGAAGAATTTCAAAGCTGCATTCGAGGACAGTTTGGGGACAAGTTCACTAGCTTCACGTTTTTTCTACACAAGCAACGTTTCTATAGCCTGTCCGCCGTTTTCGCCACCGTCGGACAACACCCAAACCTCATGCTTACCTGTCGATCAGAATGAAGAGTTACCTGAGCAGAAGCCACATGAACCGAAGAACGCAGCACTTTGCATGAGGGATGCTATGTTGGATTGCAGTTAGCGACGCCTCGCATCCGCCTATTGACCTGTTCGCCACAAATGATAATTTAAGGCTCTGCAAAGGGGCTGAGCATTCCACCGACCTTTTGCTAGATGCATTGCCTTATGCACATCAACCGTGTAGATGCGACAAAAAGAAGCGCAATTTCATGGAGCGCCAATGTTAAGCGTTTCATGCTCTAAGCCCGGTCACCAAGACAGCACAGCTAGGACGAGGACTGTACCAGACAGCAAGCCAGTCACTGCAAGCCAAGGAATTGAAAACAGAGACATAGAAAGAAGCCAATAGAAGCATGCACTCAACCGTACCAAAACGTGTCAGTTTTCTGGATGAGCCCCGACAGCATCTCAGCTGCAACATTGAGGCTCTCAGAGATAAGGGACCAGCAGGTGGTGAGCGCAAGGCCAAGAAACAAGCCACCAAGCCAGCTGCTAAGCCAACCCAGAATAATTGACCCAAGCCGAGTCAAGGAGGCCTAGCTGCTGTGCACTACAATAAAGAGGAAAAGACATCACAGGAGGCAGCTGCCTTCTACCGTGGCAGCTACGCCGTCTGCTGTAAGCCTGAATTGACTGACCCGTCAACTAGTACAGCAGCACAGCCTAACGTCGAAAAGGAGGAGGAGGTTATCTGAAAACCGGAGATGAAGCTAGAAGGGGTGAAGCACCTTAAGAAATGCGAAATGTGCCGTGCAAAAGGAGCTCCAGAAACGCACAAGTGCCACTGGACTCTGTACAAAGAACAGATCAAGGTCAGAGGTGACTATACTTTGAGGAAGGCACCGCTGAAGTTGTGTGAGAAGCGGCAGCAGAAGAGGCGCAAGAAGTGGGATTCAAGCACCGAGAATGTCAAGCAACGTCAGATAGAGTGTCACCAGAAACGTCAGGATAACATCAAGGCACGTCAACAGGCCAACCTTTAGACTAAGATGAAAAGCCTCAAGAACGAAAACCACATTGTTTCAGGATTCACGGACCATTTAGATGTTTTGGTGACTGCAAACTATGAGACCAAAAAAAAATGCGGTGGGATGCAATGTAAAAAGCCAGTCGAGCATTTTACAAAAAAAAGGAGGGTCGGATGTGAGAAAGCAAGTAATCTGACAGCCCTGTGCTAAATGTTGGTCGAGCCGTGACACCGTTTCGTAGTTATTCCTAGGCGCACGGGTGCTCCACGACTGCATTGATGCCGCAGTTCCTGTTTATTAAAGTCGTTTTCGCCTTATCCATCCCCCCTTGTCTATGTTACCGAGTACTTACATTGCGTTAATGACTTATAGTGTTTTAAGGGGGGACGCGGCCCTTGAAAACCGAAAAATCGCGAAAAAGTCGGTTTTTGAAAAACCACATTTTTGGGTTGTATGTCTCATAAACTACCTATTCTGTAATTATCAGCACCTAATTCAACCGCAAAGTGCAAAAAAAAAATACTATTTTCGAGGCCGCCGCGGCGTCCAAAACAGGCGCAAATCCCGAAATGGGCTGCCATGAACTTTTGGGCTGCTATGAACGTCTCTTACGAGGTCTTCACCACAAAAGTTTCAAAGCACTTGAAAGAGACGGTCAGAAGCCAGAGGCCACCGCTTTGGAGAGTTTATGCTGATTCTGCTACAGCAGTAATCAAACATATAAAGAAATGACCCCAGCTTTCTGCAGAACATCACCGTAGTGTACGATGGGACATGCATAAGCGGGAAGCATGGAAGTGGAGGCAGGCTTGACTCTCTTTGGGGTCTGTATCCAAACATGGCCTGCGGTACACCACTCTTGTGTCCGACGGAGACAGCCGTACCTTCGCTGCCCTCAAGAAGAGAATGTACGGCTAGTGCCAATTGTAAAAGAAGAATGTCTGAACCATGTTCAGAAAGGATTGGAAGTGCTCTTCGAAACATGTGCAGAAAAGTGATAAGCCACTGAGTGGGAAGGGGAAGCTGACTAAAGCCCTCATTGAAAAGCTGACAGGATATTATGGTTGGCCCTGAAAAACAATTCAACTGACCTAGCTAACAGCCATGCAGCGTGCAGTGATGGCAACATACAACCACGTCACATCGTCTGACCAGGACCCTGACCATGAACTTTGCCCAGGGGGCTCAATCGTGGTGCCGCCATAGAGCTGCAGAGGCAAAGCGTGAGCCACAGCCAAAACATAAACACAGCCTACCGGACTATGTCGCTGCAGCTATGCTGCCATCTACAAAAGACTGTCAAAAGTCGCTTCTTCAGCGCTGCCTGGGAGCGAAGACGCAAAATGCATCAGAATCATTCCACTTCATTCTGTGGTCTCTGATGCCGAAGGAACAACACTCATCCTTGATCGCGGTAGAAACAGCACTGCATGAAGCAGTGCTGCGCTACAATGCGGCTGCTGCAAAGCAACCCAAGTGATATCGGACTCCATTGGACTTCAACCAGGTCATCTGGCCATCCTGCGAGCTCTTGAAAAAGACGCTTTACGCCTAAAAAAGAATTCTAAAAGACACCAAGAGAAGATGGAGGCCAGGCAAAAGAAGAAAAGAGTGCGCCAGGACACTTCTAGCTACTGTGCTGGAGCTTTTTGAAGAAAACAGTGTTTGAACTTTCCGGCCTGTTTTCTCAGAACGGATTTTCGCTAGTTGTGGTGCTGAGGAAAGCAAAAACTCGAAAACCGTTCATCAGATTTGTGTGTCGTTTTTTTTATTCTGTTCCTGAATGACCTTGCAAGGGCGTAACAAGCTCCTTTTTTTTGAAAATTGGTGCTGTTAATTTATAATAAACAATTAATTTTTGATGAATCTGGTCATTACTGGTTACATCAAATTCAAAGTTGCGTGAAAATTTTTTTGGGGGGGGGGGGGGGAAATTTAAAAAAAAACGGCTTTGTAGCGCCCTGGGATAGCTATCAAGGAATGACCACAATGAATTTCAGCTTTCTACTATGTCCTGGGATTTCTCACGACTCTTCCTCAGGCACCCATGTGAAGCACCCAATTAAACCTCAATAACTCTGGAACTAAGAAACACAGCTTCGTGAAACTTAGCAGTTGTGCTAGTTTTATTGTAGTGAACAACCCCTGAAAGTTTCATCCAGATATCTTAAAAAATAAAAAAGTTCGGTCTCCAGGGTAGCCTCCCCCCTTAAAACCAAAGAACAACCAGTCATCACACAATGCATATAGCGTAACGAATAGGTCGTCCAATGCTCCAACCTATTACAAAAGCTTGTTTTTGTTCACCGATTATATATGGCCCATACCCACTACAGGCATAATTCCTCATCGTCGTCAGCCGCTACATGAACAATTGGCACAAAATGTTTTGCAAGTGTTTATCAGACACTACGCTTCTCCGAAGAATGACAAAAATAGCATAGGAATGCCAGCCAACTACCCAAAAAGTAAACAGAATAACAAGTATGTAATAAATGTGACCTTTATTGATCCAGTATTTGGACAGATTTACATCATTAACCACCAATTGATTTCAGGAGTGCTTTCTGGCAAGAGAGTGCTCAAGTTCTCTTTTTCATTTCATTTCATTTATTTTACCCTCAATCGCACATAGCTTTAAAGAGGGGAGTGGGGTACAAAAAATAATAAACTATGACAAGAGCAAACATAGTGACATCAAAATGATAAAGAGAACAAGAAATGTAAATTTGATGTTAGGCCCTGCCTAACATCAAATTGATATGTCTATGCAAAAAAGAGGTTGTGCTCAGCACTGAGCAGATAGTGTACTGTAAAAGCACCAACAAAGAAGTACAAACAACAAAATTGTACAATGCGTGCCTAAAGCCCATTTTCTTAGAATAGGGTCTTTTCGATCTGTAACACACACCTCATAACTGTTCCTTTAGCATACAAGTTCGCTGCAGACTGGTCATTACCTGAGACGAGAATTCTATCTGTAGTAACTGTGTAACTTAACTCCAACAATAAATGTAGCAAGCCTGAAATATTTT